ACCTGATTTCTTAGGCGTTTATACTTAGGTGGGCGTGTGGTGAGCGGCATTCGAGTCAGTACGCATTTCAATAAGTGTGTCTCTCCTCGTGAGAGCCCAGGGTGAGCCCGTAGAGTGCCCTGTGGACCCGTCGAACGGGGTTTAGTCGTAGGTGTCCGAAGCGGACAGCAGGAGGCTTATGCCAAAGTTATTTGCCAAGACTTGCCGATTATTGAATTCCAAGCTGGCCGCCATTTTGGCATGCCTTTAGGTGACCAGAGCGGTCTCAAGTCGCCCACCATTTTGGCATGGCGCAAGGTGACCAGAGCGGTCAACGCAGTTTCTAGGTTCATTGGAACGTGTCGGGACCTTAACCCCCTTCCTCCCCCTACCCAACCCCTCTTCCCTTTTTGTTTTTGGGGTATTCCTGAATGTAACGCTCAGGTACACTCCTCTCCTTGGTGTGTCGCTGGACGCTTGCTCGTAACTGGGAACACCTGTCTACTTCCTTTTCTTGTGTCATTGGATGCTTTCGTCATAGCTGGGAACCCTTTTCTTCCTTTCTTGGTGTGTCCTTGGACGCTTGCGTCGTAGCTGGGAACACCGTCGTCTTCTCCTTCTTCTTTCCCTTCTCTCCCTACCCCTCCCTTCCTTGTGCGCAGCATACGTACTCGTTGAGGGTATCATATGGAGGGGTCTGAGGCTCTCATATGGAGATCTCGTATGGAGGGGTCTGAGGCTCTCATATGGAGGGGTGGGAGGGTCTCATATGGAGAGGTTTGAGGCTCCCATATGGAGGGGTGTGCGGCTCTGAGGCTTTCATATGGAGGGGTCTGAGGGGTCTGAGGCTCTCATATGGAGGGGTCTGAAGCTCTCATATGGAGGGGTCTGAGGCTTTCATATGGAGGGGTGTGAGGCTCTCATATGGAGGGGTCTGCATATGGAGGGGTCTGACTTTTTTCATCTTTTCTTTCACGTCTCCCTGTCTTCACATCCTGGCATTTCATTCCTTCTTTCTTATGCGCACACAGTGGTCCGGCCCTTAGTATGTACGTGCACAACCTACTTTAAACCTAGGTTTCAGGTCGCCCAGGTCTTTGCAATGAGGTGGGTTTTCATCGGTTGTCCCTGTGCACTTGGTTCCCTTTCATCGCAACCACACACACACACACCTTTGTCACATTATCCTGTCTTGTCCTCTTTTCATGTCTTCATCTTTTTGTCCGCGTTGCGCGCACATGTGCACATTCGCCTTAACCTCAATTTTTCGGCGTGCGTGTGTGTGTGTACCTCTTGGAATCACAGGGATCCTTTCAGATTGTTTGTCTTGAACATCTTGGAGTCATAGGGATCCTGATGGATTTGCTTTTGTTTTCCTTTTTCAACCTTATGACAGTAGCTACGCAGGGGGCCACGGGGGTCCCAGAGGAGCGGTGGCCAACGAAGACCTCGTCTGGCACCCGTGTAAACGTACCTGCCAAACTGGTTACCTGTTGTTCTCGCTGTGGTCTGTTTTCATGGTGGTTCATGTATGTGGTTCTGTTACTAACCGCAACTCGCGTTTCGTGTTTTACCTTTCACCTGATTTCTTAGGCGTTTATACCTAGGTGGGCGTGTGGCGAGCGGCATTCGAGTCAGTACGCATTTCAATAAGTCTGTGCACCTTGAACTCACAGGTTTCTCATATTTTTGAAGATTTGTTGCCTTGATGTGCAGGGGGTGTTGGGGGCCTGTTTGAGCTGAGAGCCGAGGAAAAGGCTCATGCAGTGTTCGTGCAAACGTATCTGCTCTTGACCACACCGGTCCCCGATGCCAGGAGCTCCTAGTAGCTTCTTGTTCCTAGTAGTAAGGCCAGGAGCCCCTGGTAGCGTCCTTGCTCCCAGTAGCGATGCCTTTTGCTCCTGGTAGCGTCCTCTACCCCCCTTACTACTAGGAATATTTTTTCCTTCCTCGCCTTGCTTTGGAGCATGTGATCTGCTCGAGATGTCCTTGAGCAGAGGTTTGGACACCGCATGGACAAATCCTGGACATGTGGCTTTCCTTTTGGGTTTCGCCAAGGCTTGGGATATTCATATCGGTCCTATCTTTAGTGCGAGGGCACACGTGCCGTCTCGAGCTCCAAACTCCGCATCACAGGGCACACCAGACGACTGGTTTCTTGGTCAACAGCGTTGGCCCGACACTGGCGTATCCACACAACGGACCCTTTATCCTCCACTGATTGGCGTACCGGCTGATCTGGGCCATTTGGTTTGTAGACACGCTTTCCATGCGCTTGCACGTAGATTTGATGTTTTGTTTGTCCTGTGGTTCATTGAGTCGTTTTTGCTTGAACGACCGTGTTGTGTGACTTTTGCTTTCTTGTGTGAAGGTTACACTCGAATATGAAGACCCACCAAGCGGTTCCAATGAACATGGCCCGCTGTTCCAGCCGAAGCACTGCGTTTTGACCGGTTTGAAGATTTGCAACGGGAACGTGGCCAAGAAGTGCGAAGAAATAGCCCCAGGTGAGGATATCATCTTTACCTCAACGCCACGCTGGGCCTATGGTGTGCCATACACACTGCACAAGCTTGTAAACGCCAAGTTACAAGCATGGCCGTCGAAAGAAGCTCAGAAGATCGGTGATTGTTCCAAGATTCAGTATGTGCAATCCATGGAAATCGACCCGGACGGGGTGATGTGGGTCATCGATGCCGGCCACAAGTACTTCACATTTTCAGGTCCTGGTCCAGAGTTGTTTGACAGGTCCATTGATCCCAAGACCCATGAACAAACTGGGAGAGATGGTCCAGATCTCAGCTGCCCACCGAAGATCGTCCTCATTGACATCAAAGATGGCACCTTTATCCAGAGCTACGTTTTTCCTCCTGATGTGGTTGCATATCATGCTTCCACCCCTCCCTTTGGCACATTCTTGAATGACATTGTTATCGACACAGTGAGGCAAGTAGCTTTCATAAGTGACCTTGGTGGCTTTGAGTCGGAAAATGGTGGCATCATCGTGTACAGCCGCAATGGAAACTTTGGGGCTGGTTCAAGTAGACGGTATCATGACCGAACAACTGCCGGCACCATGGGATACAACATTACTGTTAATGGACATAACTATTCTTCTCAACTGGGTGGAACCGCTGTGGATGGAATTGCACTTTCCCCGGACCGCAAGCACCTTTACTATGCAAAGCTTGGTGATCCAGAGCTGTACCAGGTCAGCACTGATGCCCTTACTGATTTGTCTTCAGACTACACTGCTTGGAAAGCAAATGTGAAAGCTACTGTGGTGTACTTGGGGAACCAAGTTGGCACTCCGAATGGGCATGGGTTTGGAGTGCCTGATGGTATTACAGCTGCAGAAAACGGCATGATTTTTGCAGGTGCATACAACCACAATGCTTTGGGTACCTACAGAGTCGACAAGAAGCTGGTGCATGTGAAATCTGTACAAAGCGAGGCTGTGATCCCTTGGATTGATACATTTGGATGGGACAACAAAGGCTATCTTTGGATGACTTCTAATCGGTTGAACCACTGGTTCTTGGGAGCAGCCACTGGCAACACCATGGATTTCTCTGGGCGAACTGGCACCAACTTCAAGATACTCAAGACTTATGTCGGCACCAATTCCTACATTTGTGCGCAGGAGGGAGTCAGCTGCCAACCAAAGGACTTCTCCGACTGTACTTTTTCTGATTGGGGATTGTGGGGAGATTGCTACAGGTCTGGAAATGCAGAGGATGCAGGCAGGCAATGGCGCAGCAGAAGTGTATCTTGCACCAGGGGGGGGCAAACCACTGAAAGCAAAGACATGGAGGAGAGCTTCTGTGTGCCACTTCCACTAACCTGTCCCAGAGGCAAGGAACTGGAAGCATTGGCTTCCAAGTACGAGCCATGGGGGCTGTATTCAGACGTTTGGGGTGAAGACGGCAGATATGGCCTGAACCCATATCCTACACCTGTAACAGGTGTTCTCGTGGATCGTGCAGAAGGATGCGGAGTTTGCTATGAGGGTTTGGTGGAGTATCTTTCAGGCTTTCCGACCAACAGCTTTTTTGTTCACGCAAACACTTGTTAAGGGTCTGGTTTGTCGTATCTTAGGATGTTGTAATTGTAAGGTTGCAAACGCATTTTGCTTTGGCGTGTGCAAGATGGACCACATCATCCAAAACCCCGACGAATGCCCTGTGACGATCTCTTTAAGAGGGCACGGACTTCCCAATTTCCAGTACTCTCTGCGCTTGTTCTGGGAAGAGAGACAATTCAGGATGTCGCAAGCAGATGCAAAGATGTAGAATACACAGAACACGCTGTCAAACTTGTAGATCACAAGGTGCTTATCATAGCCCATGCAACCGAGCACATCTCCGACCTCCTAACGAACGGCTCTGACTTTGAATAAGTATTGGAAAAGCACCTGTGCGGTTGTAGCGCTGTAGGTAAGCAAGAACAGGCTCAAAATCCAAGTTTGGATGCGCAATTGCAAACACATCTCTAGAGCTTGAATGCCTTTACTGCAACTTAAGTTTCCCTAAACATCTGGGAATTAGGGTGGCAGGGGGGGCTTCCTTGAAGAAGCGTGAGCTATCCTGCGTCCAGTTACTAGAAGCTTCAGTAGCCAGTAGCTTACTCCCATACTTAATTAAGTAGGCGCCTACTTGTATAATTAAGTAGGAGCGAGCAAAAAGGAAATTGAAAAGAGAACAAGCAGCTTTTGTGGCCAACTTCAGACTTGCAGACTTTGGACATCCTCAAATTTGATGTCCTATAGCTTTTGAATGACATATTCGGTCGAGCTGCGAAAGACTTCCCCTTCTTTTGTGCTTATGGCAGAATTTTCTCGGAAGTTCTTGAGACACACGCCAGCCTGCAAACCATTTATGGAATGTTAGAACTTTTTTCCTTTTCTTTTTTCTTTGTTTCTACTAGCGATGGCCTCCAACCTATGATGGCTAAGGCTAGGCTTCTTCAAAGGGCTGAGAGATGGGTGGCAGTTTTGCGGGATAAGGAGCTTTAGATAGCGCATGCCCTCTGACTCCCTGGAAGGCTGTTTGGTTGGTGGCCGCCTGCATGAAGGCATGACCATGCGCTCACCACATGTGAACTCTCCAGTAGCAGACATGGCGATCCAATTCAAGCCAAGAATCCTGCACAACACCACATGCAAAAAGGAGGGCTATTTGGTACCGATTGGAGTCCCGGCTTTCTACTACAAGTTTCAAATCAATCTCTTTGCTCGATTCTCTCAGGAGAGATGGAATTTGATGTATCCCAGCGGTGACCAGAGACCTGCTTCTTGTGATGTGCATTGCTGGTGGGAGCAGCATCCGGAATGCAATGCTTTCTTGTCCTGGCAGCCCGATGCATCCCTTCGAGAAGAATATCCCAACCGCTCGACGCGTTCGACGCTTTCAACGCCAGCAGCGAAGAATGCGAGAGCGAAGGCAAAGTTCTTGGAGAAAGCGAGGAACGAGGTCATGCCAACACCCACCGTTGAGGGAGCTGCTGTGCCCGTGATTGGGATTGGGACGGGATGCACCTATAGTCAGTGGAGTCTTTGGGGTCATTGCACCCGACTGAATGCCACTACACGTGAAGGGATCCAGAACCGCACACGACATGTGCAGTGTCGTGGAATTCGCTCGACCGAGACCGAGTTTAGCAATTGCACCAAGTTCCCAGTAGCCTGCCGCACACAGAAGGAGCTGGAAGTCCTGGCCGAGCGTTATGAACCCTGGGGACAATATTCAGATCAATGGGGGCTTTACGAAGGAAGATGGGGTTTCAACCCATATCCTGTCAAAGTTGAGGGTGTGCTGGTGGACAGTGCTGAAAACTGCGGTGTCTGCTATGAGTCAACAATCGAATTCTTGCAAGGGTGTTTGGTGGGAGAGCGAAGTTCTATCATCAACGGCAAACCCAACTGGCCTTACAAGAACTCCCCTGTTGTAGATATGGCCATCCAAGACAAGCCCACAATCATGCGCAATGTCACTTGCAAGGAGCTCGGCTACCCAATTCCCATCGGGAATCCAGCATTCTACTACAAGTTTCAGCTAAACCTTTTTGGACGGCTTTCTTTGGACGAATGGGCTCTGATGTACCCCGCTGGTGACCAACGCGTCATTGCAGATCCTGTCCAGGATTGGTGGGACAACGTTCCAGAATGCCGTCGGTACTTCAGGGCAGTGCCCATGGGCCCACGCTATGTTCAGCCTTAGATACCTTTTTGGGCATGCATAGAGCCTACAAATACCTTTTCGTTGGCATGAATATATTGCCATTTCCTAGAAATGTTCTACAGTAATTAGTGCGAGCCATCAAGTCCAAGAGCGACATGTGACGATTCCTGCTCCGACAAGGAGCCTTGCCTGCTCCATGCACATGAAAGATACTCAAGCTGCAGCGGAGGATCCGAGTCTCACAGTGGAGTTTCTAGCCATGGCCTGCAACCTAAGAGCGATGGCCTCCAAACTAATTGTAGTTTTGCTCCTCTGGTCTTTGTCAAGAATCGATGGCGCTTGAACACGGACTGCACGTCTGATGAACCACTAGCCCACATGTTTGCAAGTTGATCTGAAGACCATGTCTCTCTAAGGTTTGGATATCATACATCCTATGAATTGGACCCCACCCTGTAGAAGAGCACAGGCTTACAAGAAATCTACCCGACATCCTGTTGGAAGAATAGAAAAGGCAGTGATACACGAAGAACAAGAAAGTCGACAACCTGTTTGTTTCAGAACAACGCAGTCAATCTGTTTTCATGAAATCAAATGAGTCAAATGCATCCGACACAGATGACTTCCATGAGCGAACCACGGCGGCGAATTGTGGGGAAGAGGCGCATAGCGCCTAGGGTGGCGAATCGAAAGGATAAGAAAGGGTATTTGAGTCCTCCAACCTAATTGTAATGGCCTCCTCCAACTTACCAGCGATGGCCTCCCACCTACTAGCGATGGCCTCCCACCCAATAGCGA